TTGCAGATGGCTTAGGGTCTATAAATTCTTATTTAAACCATCACGAGCCAAGTATAACAGGTAGCAGTCCAGACTTGTCTAAAAAGGATAAACCCCAGCTAAGCATGTAAATAATACTCTAGTGCTTTTTATCATATAAACACATACGTTGAGCCAGGACCCTAAAAGGCCTGTTCACATTTCCCTATTGTTATCTTATAAAGTGCATTGGTTATGTGTGTTGCAATGGCGGTGGGTTAGTATTTTTCAAGGCTACCTCTCACTGAGTAGATCTAACCACACTAACAATGTAATGCGTATTTTAATGGATCTATCCTCAAAAATCATTATGGTGGTTAATGAAGGAAGACCAGAAGTTAGGGAGCTCTGCAGCTTCAAACTGCAGGCTCAAAATAGTCTGTCTCCACTCAGGAGGAAACCATGAGAAACTCCCCGGCTGGGTGACAGGGCGTCAGGACAGCTTAGAGCCACCACAGAGACTGTTACATTGGCACTGGTAGGAGGAAAGAGTCTGTCACTTAAGCACAGCATATAGCAGTGGGTCAGGAGAAAGGGGGTGTTATGCTGGAGTGTGAAACGAGGGAAAAGAAGCGCTCCTAATCCTGTTATAGTTGGGAGAGATACTGTGTCTGACACTGATGCTATCTCTGTCCTTGGGCACGTTGTGTAATCTTGCCCCAGTTTAGAAGATAAAGCTTGCCTGCAGGGGTCTTTTGAGAATTAAGGAGTCAGTGTTTTCTAGACTGCTCGGAGATGAAAAGTGCTTTCTTCGGGCTAAGCATTTTTACCATAGGGGAAAGAAAAAGAACCTGCATCTTCTATTTATTTTCCTTGCTAGGAAATTGCTGAGACCCAAGAATCTCTCCGCAGGTTTATGTTTATTTTTTCATTCCCTTTATTGTCCCCACCTCCTGGTTCCAGCATCATGGTGAATCTGATGAGGAGCCAACCACTGTTGAATGTATATAGCTCCCTCCAGAGTTTTCCAGTGAGATTCACTGCAGTTCCAGTTATGAGGGATTCCTGGCATTTCTTCTGCAGGCCCTAGCTACCAAGGATCTGTCATTCATCTGCATTTATTTCTGGCTGAAACTCAGATCAGGGAGAGGCTGTTTTACAGACCTCAAGGAAGATGACTGTATTTCTCTTTAAGGTCTCTCTCAATACATGAATGATGTTTCATAAGTGACCCAGCCACAGCAATTGGCATTACCTGAATAAAAAGGAAGTTCCAGGGCCAAGGGTTTTTCTGCTTTTACCCATACACCTTCAAAAACATTTGTGCAATCATTTACAGTGCATGCATACATTTAGAGATTGTCCTGCAGGGCATTTACAGTGCACTAGGTAAAAGGATACACCCTGCAAAACTGAAATGGACCTAAAGTTCTTCAGAGTACATACTAAATCTTCTCAATGAAATTATATATCACTTCAGATTTCCAACCAGGCAAACATCAGGGTGATTATCTGTTATTATTATTTGCCTGGGGAATGAACTTCAGTAACAAAGTTGCTGCTGCTCATTGCCATGACTAGCTAGGGCTTTAAAGAAGGGGTTTTCAAGAGGAGCTTTTGGACAGGGATGACTTTGGTGTAGCATTCATGCAGGGGGGTGGATCGGAGGGGTCTTGAGGTCCTTTCCAGTCCTCTGATTGTAAAGGGTGTGGAGAGAGAGCCTCCTTTCAGGTGAGCAGTATCCAGGTCCCTGGCTTTCCTCTGCTGACCCTTCCACCTGCTTTGCTGTGGAGTGTGCATTTGTGCTACGTGAACCAGACTTTCCACTCTCCTACACTTATGCCATCATTAACACCAGTGAAAAATGCTGCAGCATCACTTGCTTTGCCCGGATGTAAACAGTAGTATAAGGCACAAGACAACAGTAGTCCATGACTAACACTCAGTGCTCTGGGGCTGACTCCTGGGCCTGAACCTTGTGTTGGCATGGACCCCAGCAAAGCGGATAAAATGCCACTTACTTAGAAGGGGAACAAGTTGCACTCAGTTTGCAGGGGGGGAAACTGGGGTGACAATCTGGCCTCCCATTTTGTTGGAACCGTGATATATTTGTGCTGACTGGTTCCTTTACAAGTACTTGGCTCAGGACAGTAGCAAATATATCCCCTGCGGTTATTTGATGATCAAAAAAAATAGCTACTTCTATGTTATTCTGATAAGGAATGAAACCTAAGTCCTGACCATCTGCGGTGATTAAAGATTACCCAGAATTTTTTTACTAGAGTAGGGAAGTGAAGCCTAAAACCCTGGCAATCTTCCAACTTGAAGAACTATATTCTGCCTACCTAAATCCTTCATACAGTTTTAATTGGATATGGTATTCTTCTCATCCGAATCTTGTGTCCCGTGGAACAGCTGCCATCTCCACCCAGACATATCTGCATTTGAATGGTGGCAGAAACAATCCTGCTAAATAAAAGGAGTATGTAACTTTGTTAAGTTTTTAAAATCCTTAGGGATCTCCTGGGATGAAAGGAGCCATATGAATGAAATGTATTATTACTACTAGTAGTAGGCTATACAATAAAAGCTTAGAGAATCTGTCACACATGGTTGTGATAATTTTCAAACACCTGTGTAAAAAGCAATTTTTAAATTGCTTTGCTTTGTGGAAAAAAAATCACGCTCAGAATATCCCCAAAGAAATTTGACTGCAGTAAGACCATACTAGCATCAGCTTACAGAGGACATTGGACGCATTGTATGTGAAAGATCAGATGTCCAACTTGAAACTGAAATAATTATTACAGAATTATTTGCACCCAAGCAACATGTTTGCTTTCTGTGGAATAGATCTCAAGAAAGGCACATCCTGCTTTTTAAAACTGCTCTTTTCAGTTTTTTTAACCCCACTGTAAAAAGGATTTTTTGCAAGTGTATTAGGTAAAATAAGTCATTGTAAGCACGGTAAACCCTCAGTGATCTGGATGAAGGACCTAGAGATTCATTGTGAATTACTAAATTTTATTAAATAAATAAAATAAAGTTCCTACACCACAAAATGCACTCTCTTACTTTATCTTGATAAGTGCAATATAAATTTAGTTACTTACAATTGCACTTCAGCTTAGTCTTTCACACTTACAAAAGGTCCTGTGTCATACTGGGCCAAAGTAATGACATCTCAACTTTAAACTACATCATGACCGCCAGAGGAACAGAAGGGATTGCAGGTTCAGGGCCTAGATTTTAATTCCTGTATTCACAGACAGTGGCCACATCTACACATGCATTAATGTCCTTTTCCTACCGTGCATTAAATTTAGTACCTCCAATGTGGAGCTAATGCACAGTAGCACAAGCACATGCTTTTTTAGTGAGGTTTAATGCACAATAGCCTATTCTACTGTGCATTAGCATATTAGCACGGTTTTTACATGCTGCTTTAATGTGCAGTAGAATAGGCTACTGCGCATTAAAGTGCACATGTAGGCATGCCCAGTCTCATTGAAATAAAGGAAATTACTAGAATAATGTAGGAAGTGATAAGTTTCTCCCTGCAGCAATGGAAAAAAACGTGACTTCACATAGGGGCACTTAGTGTTAACAAATTCATAGGGTTCAGCTGAGAGCACACATTGATGTGGGTCTTGGCCTGATCCGTGCACTTGCGACTACGTCCTAGATCAGGGGGCGGCAGTGTTTTTGGGCAGTTTCAAAAACACCCGCAACATCAAGTTGTACGGTAGAGAGCAGGGAGCCACGAGGGGCTCAACACCATCCTGGCCCATTCCCCACAGTCCTCCCGAAGGTGTGTGTGCCCACCACAGGGCATGGGCTGCTCGCAGCAGGCGGCGGAGAGGCTGCAACCAGTTGCAATGGGGTCCAAAGAGCCGTGGCTTGGCTTGCTGCTGGTGGCCTCAAGCCACGTGTGCCTCAAAGCAGACAGTGGGGAAGGGGCCAGGGCTGCACTGCCCCAGTGAGGATTGGGTCCCTTGCCAAGTTCTGGGGGTTGCCTACCCCTGTCCTAGATACTGAACCATAGGTGCCGACTTTTATTTTTGGCAGGGTGGAGGCTAGGATGATAGACATGTGGAAACTTTTACACATTTCAAGTGACAGCCCTCTTCCTGCGAGTGCCCAGGGCCCTCAGGCCCCCACCTACTCGGCATCTCTGTACTGAACCCTGTTCATTTTCCAGTCTGGAAACGTTCGCTAACACTCAGCCTTTAGCGCAGGCGAGAGAACCAGGGTGAAAGGATCAATTGCGGCCTTTAGCGCAGGAGGAAGAAGCAAGATGAAACTATCAGCCTTGGCCCTTCGCGCAGGCAGGAGAACCGGGGTGAAACTATCAGCCTGGGCCCTTCACGCGGGCGGGAGAACTGAGGTGAAACTATCAGCCTGGGCCCTTCACGCAGGCGGGAGAACTGAGGTGAAACTATCAGCCTGGGCCCTTCGCGCAGGCGGGAGAACCGGGGTGCAACTATCAGCCTTGGCGTTGAGCGCCGGCGGGAGCAGCAGGATGAACCCACCAGTGCGGGTCCTTAGCGCAGGCGGGAGAACCGGGGTGCCAGGATCCATCTTGCCCTTCAGCGCAGGCGGGGCCCCGGGCTGCAAGCATCAGTCTTGCCCCGGGCTGCAGCCTTTAGCGCAGGGATGCACCCGGGAGCGGCCCGCAGGCTCGTCCCCCGCGGGGCCGAGGACGAGGCTGCTGGGCCGGGCAGCGAGCGGCTCGGCGCAGGGCGGGTGGAG